CTCCGCGCGATGATCGCGCCAAAATTCCCCATTCCTCACCGCAGAACAAGAAAGAAGCTATGGCAACAGTTATTTTCCGCGCTCGCTAAGGCGCGATCAACTACCAACCGTCGTGGGGCCATCCTTTTTTTTTTTCAGAAGACGAGGGCATTCGTGTAATTGGGCGGACCCCTTCTCAATCAACCCCAAGCATCACTACGCAGAAAAGAGCGCGCTTACGGAAAACAGCTCGTCAGACCGTCCTCTAATAGCCGAGGTCCAAATCAAAACTTGAATGCTCTTGCAGCATTTATGGGCAAGAGAAGTAAGAGGAGTCCTCTGGCTCGGGGGAACTGTCTATGGTCACCATGGCTTCAATCCCTCTGAAGACCCCACCCATCCTTCCTCTTATCATTTTTGCCCTGGTGCACCCTCACCCCCCCTGTCCTACCCTAGTGTTAACCACCCGGGACCATCACCCATTACCACATTGACAGGTTGACCTGACCAGACAGCGGTCGCAGGCACCCAGGTTAAGCAGAGAGACCTACCCCCCTGCTCAGCCCTGGTTGAAGCAGACGCCGTGGAAGCCCAATTGCACGGGGACTTCGGGAGCTAGGCATTCATGAGGGTGCACAGTGTTAGGTTGTATTACTAGAAAAATCACTGAAATCCTAGTTTTATTCCCCACGGCAACCAGAGACAACAGGGAAGAGAGAATCGCCACCCTGACAACATCACTCCTCTGTGCCACCACCGCGCTGAAGCACCAGTGATTCTGAAAAACTGTCAGGCGACACAGGGGGTAGGTCTCAGAGTGTTTTTTTTTTTTTTTTTTTTTTTCAATTCTAAATAAATGAGTCTCAGAGTTACCGGCCTGCCTGCACCCGGGTCCAACATATGAATGCTGGACAAGACAAAAAGAAAAAACAAGACAAAAGTAAAAATTCAGGGAAATATGGCAGTTTCGGTGAAAATTTTGCGCCTTCCATTAATCGCTTCTCCCAGGCCGCCGAAGAAGGGTCTCACCCACTCCCAAGATGTATGGTCGATTGCCAGCAAGGGACAGATAGGAATAAAGTACCCCCCCAAAAACGAGAACGAAGCCACGTGGCGACATATGCAGGTTCTCCCGGAAGTACTCTGTCACGTCATCTCATTGGCTGAGATCCTCCCACGCCCCTTCCGTCCTCCTTTTCATCCACCACCTCGGCGTCGCTCGTCGAAGAACACTGCAACCCATGGCACAGCAACCCTGAATTACAGCCTCGGTGATGGCCACGGTATCCAGCCCTTCGACCGGGACTTTATGAAGCGTCTTCCTCCTCCGTGCGCAGATCTGCGCTCTCATTCTGCCCAATGCCCTCTCCTGCTGACAATGAAAGAGCACGACCGCCGCCACGGCCGTCATCTCGATCGTCGTCAATTTCGCACGTCTGTCGTCGCTGCCGCCCTCCATCAGCACGTATGTTGCAATGCTCGTGAACCAAGAAAATACAGCAGCCTACGAACTCGCCACGACCACGGTAACCTCAGCGCCAAGTTGCCGACGACGTTCCCCGTGTGTTCTCGACTCCACACTCACACGTGGAGGCAGGAGGAGGCGATGATGATGGACCTTCACCGGGTGCTCAGAAATTCGTGACCACTTACAACAACTCCACTGCGCCGCTGCAAATGCCCGTTTCCACTGTCGCCAGTATGGATGCCACCTTCCCCGCGTCGTCATCGTGACATCCAGCACCCAATTCGAAATTTGATTTTTGAACGGGGAGGTTCATTGTTTTTTAAGTTTTTTTTTTTTCTCGTCGCCAGCGCCTTTCAAAATTTCCCGCCTTTGGCAGCTGGACCACACTGTCGCGAGACGGACATCACCCAAGGGACCAAGGCATTGCCCCCCCCCCCCCCCCCCCCCCCCCCCAAAAAAAAAAAATTATGAAAATGGTGCGGGGGCCAAAAGGTATCATCCTTGGGAGACCAACCCGAGGATAGGTGGAACGACGGCAGGAATTTCCTTCAAAACCCCGAGGATAGGTGGAACGACGGCAGGAATTTCCTTCAAAACCCCGAGGATAGGTGGAACGACGGCAGGAATTTCCTGCAAATGGCCGTTTCCACCATCGCAGTATGGATGCCACCTTCCCCGCGTCGTCATCATGACATCCAGCACCCAATTCAAAATTTGATTTTTGAACGGGGAGGTTCATTGCTTTTTAAGGGTTTTTTTTTCCCGTCGTCGTTCCACCGTCGTTCCGTAACAATTGACATGATACAGAGAAAGAGGAGATTAGCATCGGCCCTGTGCAAGGCATTCATTATTGCTGAATCTAGAGTGAAAGTTGCCTCAAATACAGCTACTATAGAATGACCGTACGTTCTTTTTTGACTGCAGACAATAGGGAAAGTGGTGGGAACGGTTGGGTTATGACAGTGGGATGTACAACAACTTGAAGCCGTCGTTCCACCTATCCTCGGGGTGGTCTCCCAATACCTTTTGGCCCCCGGCAGCCATTTTCATAATATTATAGTCGGGGGGAGGGGGGGGGCGCAATGCCTTGGTCCATTGGGTGATGTCCGTCTCGTGACAGTGTGGTCCAGCTGCCAAAGGCGGGAAATTTTGAAAGGCGCTGGCGACAAGAAAAAAAAAAACCTTAAAAAGCAATGAACCTCCCCGTTCAAAAATCAAATTTCGAATTGGGTGCTGGATGTCACGATGACGATGCGGAGAAGGTGGCATCATACTGGCGACGGTGGAAACGGGCATTTGCAGGAAATTCCTGCCGTCGTTCCACCTATCCTGGGGGGTTTTAATTTTCAACTCTCAAGGACAAGACTAAAAAATCTGCTGGCTGTCCTTTGGGGCATCCGTAACAATTGACATGATACAGAGAATACACAACTTGTAATGCTTGCTCTCGTGCAGGACAAATCCAGTGGAAGGGGGGCCCTGACTCCACTACACAGTACTCTACATGCATTTGGATGTTTTCTGGGCTCAGTGCATTCAGAATGTTGAATTCTTCCAGATGCACCTGGTCCTCAAAGCGGTCAAATGGATGTAGAGTGATGCGTAGTCGAGCCAGGCCAACCTTGGCGTCTTCCTCTTAGCCCTTTTACGTCTGCCTCGTGAAGCCTGCCTAACATGCCAGTCTGCCTTGTGAGAGCTGCTCTCATGTTTCACCTCTTTAGAAACAACTCTCTATTGCTGTGATCACAGACTGACCTGGTCAGGGGGCATCAGGAGGGCGGATGGCCTTGTTTGCAGGGTTTGGGACTTGCCTGACCTAAGTCACACCCATGGTTGTATCTATGGGACGCTGGACCCGGTTTCCAGCAGGTGCTGCTCCCCACCAATAGATCGAGCTTGTTTTCGGGAAAAAAAAAAGAAAAAAAAAAAAGAAAAAAAAAGAAAAAAAAGCATCGGCCCTGTGCAAGGATGACACACATAAATCAAGAAGTCGTCCAAAAACAAAAACAAAAAAAGAACTGCTGCCTGATGATGATGTCTAAAGGGTGTTTTTCTTTTTGTTTTTAATGGTAATTGAAAGGCTACTAGTAGAGAAAGATGGGATAGTTTGTGAAATACCCCTATAAGTTGATATATATGACAAAATGCCCCTAAAAGATGTAAGTAGAGCGGACTACCCCTCTAACACAAAAAATGTTTTGCGAAATGCCCCTGGCATCGGTTGCACCCACCATCTTTGTCAAATATACCCCTACCAGGTACTGTCCATCTTTGCAAAATGCCCCCGTAATTGCCAAACTTTTCCCACACCCTATTTATTTTCTTTTTACCCCTACCGGGCCAGGTCATCTTTGTGTTTTGCTCCATCATTCAGAGTCACGGCTCCGCCCTGGTAGGCATCCCAATCTCCAACTCCTCCTCCCCAGCCGTTCCTCTCAAGTTCTCCTCCTTTGTTACGTCATCATCTCCGCCATCCTCCTGCCAACCGATTCTTCAAACTCTCTCTGAGACTCTCTCTCTCTCTCTCTCTCTCTCTCTCTCTCTCTCTCTCTCTCTCTCCCGTCATTTCCATTCAATAAGTCCACCCACGTCTGTCTTTTTTTTTTTTGAGGACACTGGTACATCCACAAACTGTCGAGACACAGATCTGGGTCGGAATCCTAATGGAATCAGATGAGTGCAAAAAACTCTCTCTCTCTCTCTCTCTCTCTCTCTCTCTCTCTCTCTCTCTCTCTCTCTCTTGCGCGCGCGCACGCATGTTTTTCAGCCAAATCTGCATCTGCATTATATCACCACTGTCTGAATCTTGGCATTGGAAGTTCGCACTGATGATCCTCTGCGATTGCTTCAACCTTCCAATTAATCCAATCAACCACCCACCCTCCCATCCTCAGGATCCACGGCCAATCCCTTTGATTTTCTCCATCCTCGTCCCGTTCTTTCGCAGACCCATGCTCTTGTCTGATCTGGCTTGAACGGCAATATCCCGCCCAGAAAGCAGGACGATAATTAATGACAGCGAAAATACAGTTGTAAGAGTCGTGTAGACTAGACTGATGAGCATATCTTGTGGTGTGCGCGCGCGCGCGCGCGCGCGCGCGAGAGAGAGAGAGAGAGAGAGAGAGAGAGAGAGAGAGTGGCGGGCAGGAGGATCTAGGAGATGGTGAAGTGGCAAAGGAGGAGAACTTGGAGGAGGAATGGTAGGGGAGGAGGAGTTGGAGGCAGCGACAGAGACTGCCAAGGAGTTTGAAAGTGAGGCAAACTGCTGCACATATGGGCCTGGGTATCGCGCAAAGTTGCCCACCCTGTATGGAGGGCAAACCGGGGAAAACAAGGTGCAGGCCCAGAACCCAACGGCGAGGTCCCGATTGCAAATTTGCACACAGGCCTGACAGAGGCAAAACACAAAGATATAGGCCCAAAATGGCATTCTGCTCGACCCACATCTTTTAGGGGCATTTTGGCATATATCCCAACTTAAAGGGGTATTTCGCAAATTACCACGAGAAAGAAAGGCAACAGAAATTTTGAGGAAAAAAAGAAAAGAAGAAAATCAACGGCCTGCGTCGCAGAACATGCACAGTTTGGTCAGCCAGAGCTAGAAGAAAGTTATCAGAGGTAAAGGTCATCATTCTCATTGTGTATGCTCATCTTCCCGCCGTCGTCAGCGTCAAACACCTCACAACCGTCCAAGACTATGCCCTCAGCAGTCACAGAGTAAGGAAACGCGAGAACTGCAGACATCGGGGACTTCACAATCTTCAATATCCTTCGACCTCTGAATGCTTCGAGTACGATTCTGATGTTGACAGCATGAGCCCATTTCGTTCCCAACGCCGCCATCAGTTTGGACGAGGCAGACGCATCGTCGTCATCCATCCCGCCCCGTCTAACGAACCCTTCCGCTTTCCACGTGCTTTGCTCTGAGACCGAGAACCTGAGATCGGAAGCCACTGCGCCAAAGCGTGTGGTGATCTGGTTAGTGACAACAACCGCCATCTTGAAAGTTTCCGCGAGGTACTTAAGGACGGCCGCTTGCCTACCTAGCAGCTCCTGCCGCTTGACGATGTTTTCGCATCCATACTCACTCCTAACAAGAGAGGCCACACTGTCTACTACGAGGAGCTTGACCTGGCGCTCTATGACAGCCTCTTCTAGTCCCTGCAGTCTCTCTATAACCTCCCCCGAGGACGTAGGCTTCACGACAACCACCTTTGCCCCCAGGTGATCCATCATCCCCCCAAGCCTGTCCGAGGAACCCGAGAGCTCCTCCCCGGGGGAGGCCGCAGCAATATGATGCTGTGCGATCTCGAACAGTCGTTCGGAGCTGAACTTGTTCTCTGTGTCGATGTATATCACGCTACCACCTAGTCCGCCCCACTCGACCGGCAGAATAGCAAACACACTCAGCATGAAACAAAACTGTGTTTTGCCGATTCCAGCGGGCCCGACGAGTTCCGTAATCGCTCCCAATGGGATGCCCCCGAGGAGTGCGTGGTCCACTGCTCTCAGCCGCGTCTTGAGACTCCGTGGTCTACCAGCCTTGGATGCCTCGTCCTCTTCCCGAACAAGCTCCAGGACAGTTCGACAAGGAGGGCAAACGGCACGGCTGACGTGCATCAACGTCTGAGATTGCACGTCTGCAGGAAGGTCCACAATTTCCATCAAGTCTAACTCCGGCCGGCATAACACATCCCTTGCCGTGTGGAGATCCCGAGCCGTCAACCTGCGTAGGATCGCATCATCCAAACCCATTCGCGATAGCTTCCTGTCACCCATCCTCCTCCAAAAGCGGCTTACTTCAGTTGAAAAAGCTCAACGAAAGGGAAGGTCTCTCTGCTACTATCAGTGATACGTCCACCCACTAAAGAAGCCCCAGGACATACACTACGCTCTATGATTCTTCATTGCTCCCCTCACCTCCTGGACATTACTCGGTCACACCTTACCACCATCCGTCAGATAAGAAAGTGGCTACAATCAGATGTAGACTGTTCTTCTTTGTTCTCCTTTCTGCTTTCCTGGGGTCTTAACTAGTCTGCACATAAGCTGCATCACGCACACACACACACACACACACAAAAA